TCTTGCATTTAAATTCCCTTCTGTTGTGAGATGAATCTTGGCTGGAGACATAGCTGATTTTAAATTTGTAGAAATATTAACTTTATGAAGTGCAATGACTAAAAGGGCCTCCTACTCACTTTCTTAGCCTTATTTGAAGACAGAATTTGGGCAGATGAACCATATTCTCGCAAGTCAGTGTCTCCATACTAGTTCTGAGTATGAAGTTAGTGACATGGGAGAACGTGGACATTGACTCGTTCTTGAAGTAAACTGTTCCTGGCGCACAGTGGCAGCAATCGCTTGGACACTCTGCTTGCCCTGGCACAGCTGACGTCCCTCCTCAACTTCACTTCATAGCCTCACTTGGGGCATCATTCCAAGATGGACAGTTCTGAGCAAGCTGGGCCCGCTCGCCTGATGCTTTAGAAATCTAGCCTTTTAAATTCTTCCTGTTGCTTTGTCAGTCATGGTGGATTTCTCTTGTTTGCAAAGAAGAAGCTCTACTGACAGAATTTTGTCTCTCCTCACCCTAGATCAGAAGATGGCCAGATGTTAATCAGCGTGGCTCAGAAAAACAACTCATATATATATATATATATATATATATATATATATATATATATATATATGTATATATATATACATATATATGTGTATGTATATGTATATGTATGTGTATATATATGTATGTATATGTATACACTTTTTTTTCTTGGTAATGTCACTTTTGCACATGAGTGAGCATGTTCAACAAATTGTCAGGAGTGTGTATGCTGGGAGCATCCATGCATGTGTATTTGCATGAGTGTGTAAACTGGAATTTGACATTGGATGCTGTTCTTCAAGTGTGATCCACCTTGTTTATGGAGATACAGAATCTCCTTTGGTCTGGAGCTGATTAGTCTAGGCTGGCCAACCAGTGAGCCCCAAAGGTCTGCTTGCCACTGCTCCCTTAGTACTGGGGTTATAAACATGTACTATAATACTCCCCCGGGTTTTGTTGTAAGCAAGGATTCTAGACTTTGACCTTAAGTTTTTATACTTGTTAGGTATTTTACCAACTAAGTTATCTATCTTTCCAGCCCAGAAAACACTTTGAGTCTCTTCCTCTATTTTATATTTGTATTCTCCATCCAAGGTAGCCAGGCTTTCTGCTTCTTTTTGAAGAAAGGTTGGACTTGAAAATAAAATTAAGTTTTGTTTTTATCCTAAGATAGTCAGTTTCTAATAATCTAAATGTTTAGATTAGATTAGGCTGGTTGCTTTGAGGGAGACAAGAGACTGTATCATGAAACAGATGAGGAAAATATTTATGTTTTTCACACTAAAAAATGTTTCCAGCAGATAGTTGGAGGCAAGGTGACCATTGCAGGGACTGCTCAGGGTCACGGCAATCTCATCGGTGATGGCTGCTGGTGCATGGAAAGAAGGGAGATTCCAATGAGTGCCGTAAGTTCAAAGCTTGCCAAAGATTCCCACATAGACAATATTGTTTATTGAAGTACCAGCCAGGGAGAAGGCTGGACCTGAGGGGCCATGAAGAATAGAGGTTGGGGGTTTCTAGCTCTAGGAATTGTGTGTGAATGTGTGTGTGTGTGTCTGTGTGTCTGTGTGTGTGTGTAAGCCAAAACTAACCCCAGCTATCCTTCCTTTGATTCTGTTTACCTTGTTTTTTTGTTTGAGATAGGCTCTCTTCTAGGCCTGGAGCTGACCAAGTAGTATAGGTTGGATGCCAATGAGTCACAAGAATTTCCTGTCTCTACTTTCCCAGCAATGGATTACAAGCACATGCTGCCACATCTGGCTTTGTTTATGTGAGCACTGGAAGATTGATTCTAGGCCCTCATTTTTTTTTTTTTTTTTTGGTTTTTCGAGACAGGGTTTCTCTGTGTAGCTTTGCACCTCTCCTGGAACTCACTCGGTAGCCCAGGCTGGCCTCGAACTCACAGAGATCCGCCTGGCTCTGCCTCCCGAGTGCTGGGATTAAAGGCGTGCGCCACCACCGCCCGGCTAGGCCCTCATTTTTTAACTGAGCTACAATACCAGCCCATTTCCTTTCTTCTTCCTTCTTTCCTTCTTTTCTTCTTTCTTTCCTTCTTTCCTCCCTTCCTTCCTTCCTTCCTTCCTTCCTTCCTTCCTTCCTTTTATTTCTGTCTTTCCGTTCCTTCCTTTCCACTCCCTTCCTTTTTCTTCCCACCCTCTTTCTTACATAGAGATTCATATATCCCAGGCTAACCTTGATCACTTTATGTAGTGGAGAATGGACTTGAACAGTACTGATCCCAATCTCAGTTTGGTCTACATGGCAGAATTACTGCTAAGTTTTTAAGCTTCTAAATGATTGTGTTTGGTTCTAACAAGATGGACCCAGGTAAGGCTCAGGCATCAGTAGTTTTGAAATGTTTTTAGCTGATGCTAACATAAATTCTAGAAATCAAAGCTTGAGGATCAGTGAGCTATAAGTAGAAGTATAGGATTAGTTCACTTCTAGCTGTATACAAATGAAACTTGTGAATGATAAAGTTCAAGATAGATATTTATTTCTCTTACTTAAAATAATTTTGGAGGTAGGCAACACAGAGCTGGTGCATCTTTGGACTCTACTGAGGTTTTCAGACTCACACTGTGTCCTTTTCAAACTGTAGCTTTTATTCACAAGGTTATCCTGATTGGTGATTCATTCATTTAGACAGTATTTATTCGGACCTATAATGTGTGAGACCTGTTCTCTCACCTTTGGTTGAAATTTTAATGTAATAGTTAATTAGTTTATTAAGAATATCATACATACATATAGTATATTTTGATCACCTCACTTCCCCATCCCCAACTTAATGTCCTTTTTGTTTTGAAATACACCAACTTGTGATGCTCATGCATTCCTGGGTGTTGGGCCATTCACCGGAGTGTGGTCAACCTACGAGAGGCCACATCCTTAAAGAAAACTGACTCTTCTTCCCTCAGAAACCATCAGATGTCAACAGCATTACAGTTAGTGGTGGAGTCGTGAGTCCTACCCCCTCCATGCTAGAATGTTGACTGACTTGATTTTGTGCAGGCAAGTACAGCTGTTGCAAGTTCATGAGTGCAGTGGTCTTGTTGGTCCAGAAAATACTACTTTCCTCCAACCCTCCCTGACCTCTGACAATCTTTCGATCCTCTCTACCTTGATGACTCCTGAGCCTAGGAGGAGAGGTGTGAGTGATACAAATGTCTCATTTGTGGCTGAGCACTCAGTTGACATTTTTCTTCCACTTTGACTGTGGTTGCATTCTAAATGAAGTATACACAGACTATACTGAGATGGTAATATTTTAGGAGAAGAAGAATACAAGAGGTAAAAAAGTAACAAATGCAAATATCTAAGGCAAGAGTTTTCCAGGCAAAGGAAAGAAAGTGTGACAATTTAAAAGGCAATAACAGGTTCAACATACTATAGGGAAGGCAAAGAGGGCAATGTAGCTAAAGTCCAATGAGTATACGGTTAAGCAGAAAGATGTGTGCCAGGCAGCCTATGTCTAGGTATAGGCTGTACAGGTTGCCATGAATACTTCTACCTTACTTTGTCTCTAAGTGCTGTAAGTGGGAGATGTTGAGTAGACTATGATCCAATTATTGTTTTCGTTTCTTTAGGAGATCTCTGATTGCAGTACAGGAAAGTAAACCACCTGATGGAGCAGGAGAAGGAGGGGGCCCAGTTAGCAAGTTAGTCATTATTCAGGTAACTTATACCAGGATGGTAGCTCTAAAGATAGCATGTGTACTAATTCCAGATTGAATCTGAAGATGGTGCCAACATCACTTGTTAACAAGAATGTGGCAATAGAATCAAAGGAGGAGAGCGTGGATTCAAGGGTTTTGCTCTCGTAATTTGGAAGAATGGATTTGCCATGTACTGAGATCAAGAATGAAAGAAGATGGAGTTTGAGGTGAAACTAAGAGTTCAGTTTGGAAGTATAAGTTTTTAACAGGTCTATTTGACAAAGTTTGTTGTCTTTTAGCTTCAATAGAGAGAGATTCATTGACAAACAATGAAATGACTTGAAGCATTTATCCTTTAAATGAGAATAACATGATTTCTCAGCAGAAGTTACTAAAGCAGCAGGGGGAATGAATTCATTCTTGACTTTTCTGGAAGAGTCTATTTGTTGGTATACTGAATGTTAGGATACTCAGTGAAGCTCTTCATCTCCCAAATCAAGCCTTGATCCCTCTAGGTCCCTTCTCCCTCTACATCTCTGGCCCCTTGCTGCCTCAGTTTGCAGAAGCAAAGCTATCTAAGGTCAGAGATTTTGGATAGTATTTAAGTTAAGCTAGTATAATTACAGATTACAATGTTACCAGTTTAAAAATGTTAAACGTTTTCTCCAAGGTAACCACAAAGTCAGAAAGCAGAATGGGTTTCTAGAGTTAGGAGAGGGGGTTTAGGGGAATTATTGTCTAGTGAGTACAGAGATACAGTTTTATAGGTTGATAAAAGCTATAAGCAATGATCAGACAGATGTTTACCCTATAATGCAAATTTACTTCGTGCAAATGAAATGTACACTTGAAGATAAGAAAATGGTAAATATTTTACTTAGTTTTGAAAAGAATGGAAAGTAGTTGTCATGAATCTAAGGTGAGCTCATTATGTTTCTGTCTTTATTTTTATGAGGGTAGGATGTGAATAGAGGAGCTTTTCAAGGTTATAAGACCTCATGAAAAGGGTGTATGATGGAATGCGTTTAAGGTCTAAGTGTAGATTCAGGCTAACTAGTAAAACTCTACTAAGTCAAGGTTAGTTAACACAAGGAAGGGGGACAACAAAAGAGTCAACTTCCCCAGTTGCTCACTTTCCTTTGAATAGCCTTCCTAGGAATTCGATATACACTTTAGTTGTCACACTGAATTATATGGGTATAAATACCTTTAAGGAATTCTGGAAAATTTAATCATTTATTCTAAAAGAAGATTATGTGCCAATCAAGAGGAGAGAATGCATGTATATGGCAAGGCTCCCTTGTCACTGTATGAAATCATATCTTGCCTAGTGAGACTCTCTGGGGGTGGATTACAGAAGTTGATTTAGTCTGAGGAGGGGCTGGGAGTAGGAGGTGATGTTCTTTAGAGCTAGGCACCGGGCCATTTAGGCAAGAATGTGCATTAGACAACAGTGTGTTTTTAGCTCATCCATCCATTTCTCTGTACCTTCTCTCCCAGGCACATTTATCTTCTAAGTCATGAGACTCTTCAGGTACTTCTGTATCTTGACTTCTGGAAGTTTCTTTCAGGAAAGGATTTGATAAGGCCTGAGTTCATTATTGCTTAAAGGACGACAAAGTTTAGACTCACTCGTTAGAACAGAGTAAACCTTTTAAAGGAAATAAAACTGAAAGTGGAAGCAACAGCATTTTTGTTGGGTGAGTTCTTGACTTAGGGTATCAATAGCTTAAGGATATGAGGAGTTTTGTAGTGTTGTCAAACACTGCCATCTTGCCCCTCCCCTCTGAATGTTCCTGAGGGTATCTTTGGCCAGGGTCACGTGCTTCAGTCTTTCAAACTGTCAATCTGGCAACATCTATTAAATTTCAAGCGAGACCAAATGAAAAGGAGCAGTTTACAATTGGATTGCATAAAGGTTAACAGTGTAAAAGAGGCAAAAATCATGATAGGATAGCGTTGGGACTCAGCTATTGGACTTTTCACAATCCAATCTGTACATACCTCATAGTTGACTTAACCTTCTGCATCCAGGAGAATTGGCCCAGGACAAGTTTTTGCTTGTGACAGAAGCCCAGCTCCTTCCCTGCTCTTTGAATAGCCAAACAGAATTGACAGATGATTTGCTGCATGCCACCAAGAGAAATCCTAGTTAGTGCATCTGATGGACTACAGAATAGCAAGGCTGCTTAACATGAATTTTATTGCATCTCAGCACCTGCTCCAGCCAAAAGTCATTACGATCTAGAGGAGGCTGTGCTCAGATGATCATTATTCCTGTTTCTTTGCATTTGTATTCTGCCGAGTACTGTGCCAGGGAAAATTGATGAATGGAGGAACTGATTGTGAGTGGCACGAACCTGTGGCTGCAAATCTTCTGTGAGCCTGGAATGTTAGTTGAGCTAGTGGGGAGCAGGATTGTTTACGCAGCTGAAGTCATTGTCTATCACCCAGGCTTGTCTCTTGCTTAAGTTGTCTCATTCCTCCTCTCCCTCCCCCTCCCCGTACCCTTTCCCTCCTTAACTTTTGTAAAGATATGTGCTTTAGTAAGAAATATGAAAGAAAGAAACATAATAACTGTCTTAGGGTTTTTAATTGCTGTGATGAGACACCATGACCATGACAACTCTTGTAAAGGAAAACATTTAATTGGGCCTGGCTTACATTTCAGAGGCTTAGTCCAGTACTGTCATGGCAGGAAGCATGGTGGTATACAGGCAGACATGGTACTGGAGAGGTGGCTGAAAGTTCTACATCTGGACAAGCAGGCAGCAGGAAGAGAGGGAGTCACTGGGCCTGGCTTGGGCATTTGAAACCTCAAAGCCCACCTCCAGTGACACACTTCTTCCAATGAGACCACACCTCCTAATGCTACCCTATACGAATTCACATATGACTCTATGGGGGGCATTCTTATTCAAATCACCACAATGACCAAAACAAAACCCATCAGACAAAAAAGTCCAATTGAGCTTCATTCCCTGATCAGCAGGCTAATACTAGGATTGTTTTTCTAACATACTCTGTACCCCATACTCACCTCCCATGTGTGAAGTTTCAAACCCATGGCCTTGTGCATATTATGCAACATTTTGCCACTGAGATGTATACTTAGCTCTCTCAATAAATCCATTGGCAAGACCAGATCAGTCATTAAGATACTGACATGCTCCCTTACCAAATGGTATCTGTTGGCTGAGCTTAGACCTCTGAAAGTATCTTGATAGCAGACTGCTTTGTTGTTTTCATTGGGTGCCTAAGGCTTTGAAGGTTGCCTCAATATCCAGAAAGCAAAGCTTTAGACCTTATCTTCATAGGAAGGCAGCAGAAGCTGCTCCAGCTGGGTAAGCAGGTGGTTTCAGGCCCATTTCCCAACAGTTGCTAACTGCTACAATGGCTTCCAAAGAATCAAAGAGAGGCACTAACTGTGGGGCAGGAAAGAATATAACAAAAGTGATTGCTTCTGCATACTTTGGCTGTTGATTTTTGTTTTTGATGTGTAAACCAGGTTGGAATCCTGGTAAAGAAGAAGATGAATGGATACTCTTTGTTAGGTCAAAATGCTTGCTTTTATGGAATGGAATACCAGCTTGGTGTCTGAGTAGAGGAGAAAAAAGAGCATGCACTGTCCTGGATCAGGGTTCCCTCAGGCCTAAGTGATGATTCAATACATTTTGTGCAGTCTACTGTGACCCTTATTGTCTTTGCTTGTTAGAATATAGAATGGATTACTACTGACTATCATTATGAGTAGGTGTGTTTCTCTTGTTGCAGCTCCCAGAAGAGTTTGCATTTTACTTTTTGCCTATTTCTTCCCTTTACAATTCAGGAATCATAACAAATGTTTCATCTCTTTAGCAGGATTCCTGTATTTTCACTCCTGACTAACAAAGGTCTTCGCTGACAGAAACCATATCCTCTGCACATTACTGTGTGCATTTCTTTAGACCCACCATTTGTGAGCTGTGTGTGATTGGTTCTGCACAGATTAAAATAGCACCTAGAGAGCCAATTTAAGATTCAAGATGAGTGAACCTGAACATTAGAGCCATTCTGGCAAGAGCACACCTCGTAAATCCCATTGTTAAATTTGTAGTGCTAGCAATGGAATGCACAGCTCGGCATTTCACCCTTGTTAAAGCAAAGGTAAGTTGTAAGTGCCCTTATACAGCTCCAATGGGCATAGAGACAATGGATTGGGAAAGGCTTTCTTAAATCCCGTTGGCACTGTGAGGCACAAATACACCTTCCAGAAAGGCTAGTGTCTTCTAATTTTAGACTCTGTTAATTAAAAGTGTGCTGTCACTTATAAAAATAAATCTGCATGTTCGAAATGAAGTAGGGTACTAGAAAAAAAATTAGCAAGCAGTTCATTGAGAAGATATAGAAAATAATTGGAAATTACTAGAGATTAGATTTGTGATAGTCTGTAATCTGAACATCTATTTTCCTCAAAATTTCATGTTCTTAGCTGGGTGTGGCAGCCCATGCCTATAATTCCAGCATACTGGAGTTTGAGACAGAGCACAAAGTGAGGGGACCAGAATCTGAGGACAGCCAAGGTTGCATAGCAAAACACTCACTCCATTTTTAAAGAAACTCTGCTTTTAATTAACAAACCTGTTAGCTCCACGTGATCATCTGTTAGATCAGTATTTCTCAATTTTATTGGTGCTTTGGGATCTCTTAGGAGGGGTTGTAAAAATGTGGCTGCCTGGGTCCTATGCAGAGATATTCTAGTTTATTTGGTCTAGAGTTTGATCTGGGTATCATGGGTTTTACAAATTTCCCTAGGGAATTTTAATGTGCAGGTTCAGAGCGTTTCGGCCAGAACCTCGTTGAACCATTTAGTTTAAAAGAAGATGCATCAGGGACATAGATGCTTCCAAAACCTGTCTTAATTGTATGCATCTAATATACATTTTTGTCAAACTACATAGGACCCATAATTGCTCCAGACCTCTAAGACTTGGTCGTATTTGAATGTTTGATTGGATACATTTAGAAACATGCTTGGATTGCTTAATTCAGTATTATAAGGCCTAAAATTTAGAGATGTCTAGATTGTGTACATGTTATATTTTTATTATCCCTTTAAGGAAACAAACCTCTGGCTCTCACAGGGTTAGTTGTTTTACTGAGAAATATCTTCCTGTCTACTCTTAGCAAAAGATACTATATTTATGTATTATAAAGTAGTATTTGTTGCCTTTTCAAAAAGTGATGATAGTCTCTAGGTAGAAGATAATAGCAGCTGAATGCTGATGAAAATTTGCCTGATTTGATTACAGTTCATTAAGAACAGCAGCATTTCTGAGAATCAAACTTGCTTCATACCAGATACAAGGCGGATATCATTTTGATGCTTCAAACAGCCTGCAGAGTGAAGTCTATAGGAACTTAGATCAGGCAATGGTTTTGATATAGTTATTTATCATTGCTTGGCTACCTGTCAGCATGAAGGACAAATTCACTTCATTAATAACTTAAAGCTGCATTGGTGAGACCATTTAAATGTGTTCATTAAAGCTAACTGGGAAAGCTCCCTCCCTTTTCAGAAGTATTTCACCCTTTTCAACTCATCCCTGCCAAATCTGAATAGAAAAATGTGAATCTTTGCAATGTTTATTTTCCAATGAGACACAAAGTTTCAAGACAATGCATGTCTAGGTGGCCTTCATCTGTCAGGAGTCTCCCTCCATCCTAGCAGTTTTGACAAAAACATTAAGAGAAAACTATGTGTCATTTTGTCCTGAAGAGTACTCTGACGGTTGGTAGACAGCACTCTTTCCATGGCACCAGCAACATGTGTTTTAGAACTCCTAATCGCTCAGTTTTGAGGGTACGGTGCTCTAATACAGGAGGGTCCTGGTTTATGGAAAAGAATGAAACAAGCTCTCTTTGCTTTATGAGTCTCAGTAAAGTGGGTCACAGGTATTTTTACAGGACTGATGTTGTCGTCCCCAAAGTCAACCCCTAAAGACACTGTGTAGACATTGTTATTGTTTGTTTTTCTTTTAGTAAGCTATATATTCCACTTCTTCAATTTCTAAGTCATAAAGGAACATAGGACCTTGAGAATAATTCCAATTTTTCTGTGTTCTAGGCCGGGAGCACCTAAACCTTCCCCAGTATCGGTGGCCAACAATGGTTTCTCTGAAGGGAAGGAAAGAAGAAACTAGGATTTGCCAAAGAGGAAGGGTGGAATTATTCGCTAGGGAATTTATCAGTCTGCTATCCTTACATTTTCTTCCAATGTGATCTAACCTTCTCTAATCTTTTGCCATACTAAATCTGAAGCATAACAAGTATTATTTCTCTTTATCCCAGTAATTCTAAATGTCACTTGATACTTTCCCCACCCCATTCCTATAGTCTAATGTAAGGATTATGTCTTCTGTCCTTTCTTTTGATTAAGGTATGTTAAAAGTCAAGCTTAGAAAATTATGAGCTACAGTTGAAAGAATGCCACATGGCAGATACTAAATTCACTACAGCTATGCGTGGTGGCTCATTGTTGTTGTCAATTTGTCTGGTTGAGTCCCTGTGAAAACGTGTTCCTAGGTGTATTAGGTGATTTACAGGAAGAGTTAATGGAAGACGAGATGGAAGACTAAGCCTGAACATGGCCAATACTATTTCATGGCTGAATCTGTCCAGGACCAAATAAAAAGAAAAAAGCAAGCTGAGCATTGGTATGCGTCTATCTCTGCTTCCTGACTATAGATTCATGGTGACCAGTCACCTCACTCTCCTGCCACTATGCCATCCTTACCACGGTGGACTATACTCTTAAACTAAGAGTCAAATCAAGTCCTGCCTTCCTTAAGTTTTTTTTTTTTTTTTTAATTCAGGTATTTGTCACAGTAATGAGACAAGTAACTGATACATCACCCATAAAATCATAGTGATCACATACACAGCTGAGAAAATTAATTGTACTTTAAGTGATATGACTCACCTCCAAAATTAAAAGAATCTTCAAAAATAGGATCAAATATAGGTTCTTTTGAAAAATAAATCTGATGCTCTCTAGCACATGTCCTACTTCCTACTTACTCACCTGTGGTTTTTAGCAAAGACAGTCAGGTGTTTATAGGTTCCTACATCTCTTTCCTCTTCTATCTACCTAGAACTTATCTAGGACTTGCCTTCTTACCTTTCTAGATTGGGGAACCCGAGGTTGGAGTTTTTGTGCCTCTAAGCTCTATGTTGAAATCCCACCCCCTCAAGTGATAATGTTAAAGGATTTGGGAATAAAATTGGGCTGTGAAGGTGGATCCCTCATGAATAACACTGACACATTTATAAGAGATTCAAGGAAGACTCTATACCCCTTCTCTCATGAAAGGTCATAGAGGGAAGCATGCATTGTGAATCAGAAAGAAGACCACACTAGACATCAGACCTGCTGACACCTTGGTCCTGGAATTCCCAACTTTTAGAGTATTAAAAAATAAGTTTCTCTTGCTTCTTATCCCTTCATTTTGTAATATTTTTTACAGTAGCCTGAATGTAATAGTGTAGATGTGTGGTTAGATTTGTTTAGTGGAATAAGATCAGGATTGACATTTCACATTTAGGTCTTTGCTCCATTTGGAGACTAATGGGACCTCGTAAAATTAAAAAGTTTGGCACAGCTACAGGGACAGTCGATCAAGTGAAGAGGAAGTCAACAAAATGAGAGAGAATATCTGTCAGCTATACATCCAGCAGAGAACTAATATCCAGAATATATGAAGAGATCAAGAAAAAAAAAACAGAGTCAAAAAACAAATGGCACATTCAAAACATAGGCTATGGATCTAAAAAGAGAGCTCTCAAAACAAAAGAAAAAAAGAGAATCAGGATGATATCAGCCAGTGCCAAGACTGGCACCTGTTCCTACAGGATCCCATCTCCAGTATCTTTTGTCTCTTCTTTGGAGACTTCAGAAACTAATTAAATTACTCCAGAAATCTGAGTTCTATGTGCTAGGCTCTGGATTCCTGAGCGAGTCCTTGAAAGATAGCTGTGGAAGAGGCTCATGCAGCTTTCCTGGTCTCCAACTTGAAGGAGAAGCCAAGTTAGGTGTGTTAAGTGGAACTTTATGGTTTCTTTTCATCTGTGGAATGGCTTCTTTGATCTACAGAGGCTTGAGCAAGTATGGTTTGTACCTCAATACAAATGCATTTTCATCTAATAAATCCCTTTAGTTTTTCTCTTTCAATAATGAAGCAAAATACCATTACTTTAACGATAGAGGACCCTGATTGATTTTCTCCGGGTTTCTATATTGCTCTTCTTTTTTTTCCTCCCATTTAATTTAATTGTATATAATCCCTGCCCTTTGACAAATTTCTTCTGAGCACCTTACCTCAGTTTCTTAATTATGAAAGACAAATAATATTGCTTCCCCTCTTACTACTCAGAGCTGTCAAAAAGATAAACGATTTGATAATCATTAGAGGAGGGATGTATATGCATAAAGTGTTGTTATTATGTTAGTCTCATGAGAATAGTAAAAAGTGTTTCTGTGCTGAGGATCTGGGCAATGCTACAGATGGAAGATTTATGATTTGCTCGGTGATTTGTTTTCCTTTGTGGAATTGGAGTAGTTCCTTTAGGTTACATAGAGAACCAACTTATCTTAAAACCTGAAGGCATCTTAACATGTCTACATGAATATTTAAAATGCTTCAGGGCATGGATATTATGACTGTTATATTAGGCAATGTGATTGATTTAGAGAAAAGCATGGGTGACTTTTCATGTGGTTTGATATCACAGAGCACATGTGCAGTTAAGTCTAGCTTTGATATGGATAAAAATGTAGGATACTCCACCTAGGGGCTTAGTGACCCTTACACAGATAATATGAATAATAGTGGCTCTTACCAGGAGATCAAAGATTTAAAACATTTAGTTCCAGTGTAAGCGTGTGGTATTATTTAAAGCACTGTGCTCTCTAGTTGTAGTTAGCTATTGAATTTGAGTAATTATTGTAAGGAGTTCTTGGCTTTTGAATTTGGGTGATTATTGTAAAGCATTCTTTGTGACCTTGCAGAACCATTTTACTTACATAAGATGCATTTATTTTAACACTGAGATGATCATAACGTGTCCTCAAATATATTTAATCTGTTTCCTTAACCATATCAGTCATGCATTAAAGTAGAGTAATAAAATTAATCACAGAAGTACTGGTTCTGTTGCTACATAATCCACCTGACGTAAAGAATTTACATCCCCCAGTTTCTCCCATGTTATTCTGACCATTCTTAAAAAGTCAGTCACTATTTGTTCCACTCACCCTTACACTTGGCCACCCCCATGACACCGCCCTTTCTTTCTCTTTCTCTTTAGTTTCTGAATGATGTATCCCAGTATCCAAAGCAGGAGCCAGGCTCTGAATGAGTCTCAAAAATGTCTCTTGTTGATTCTGATACCTGTAAATGTGTTCTGAGATTAACCAACACAGTCTCATGCTCTTTGTTGCAGAAGTAGATAAAGGTCTAAATAGAAAAGGGTAGAGGTGTGTGTGTGTGTGTGTGTGTGTGTGTGTGTGTGTGTGTGTGTGTATGTTTTACAAATGGGTAATATTAGAACTTATTTCAATGTCAATGGGAGTTGTTAGGTAAAATAAGTAAGGTCCAAAGATGTTAGATGAAGCACTGGAAACCTTCCCATTGGGGAAGACACCTAGAAGCCTGTGGAGCTAACTCTCTTTGGCCAGCAGGGTCGGTTCTGGTACATTTTCTCACACTGGGATGTTGGCACAGCGAGACTTCTGTCTGCAATCTTGCCACTTCATCTGTTCAACTCCATTTCTATTTCCCCCTTTAAATCTTCCTTGTTTCTTGTCCACCCCAGTTTGGTGGGTGTATTTTACCTGTGTTCATATAGTAGTCAAAAGATGTCCTCATTATCAAGCTTTTGGTATTGCAGTTGTTAATAATTTACTTCGCTGTGGCTTCTATTAGGTTGTAACCTCCACAAGGATCCTCTAATTCATTTGTTTCACTGTAGTAAAATGTTCCTGACAAATTATTGAGCACTTTAGTCATTTTAGGTATGGTGTTCTGAGGTGTTTAGTATCTTCACTTTGTGAAACTATCTATCTCCAGAAATTTATTACCTTCAGAGATGAAACTCTTCCTGACTAAGCTCTAATCTCATTTTCCCCCCACCCACCTCCCAGGGAACATATCTTGAAGTCTCAGAGATGAACACAGTGCCTGTCATATCAGAGGTAAGCAACACAAATCAATGTTTATTCAGTAATTGGGTTTAAGTGCTCAGTAATTTGTGTCTTTTTTTTTCAGTAGAGAATGTGGGTTGATATTTTAAAATTTGGAATGACGATTTCATCTCTATACTAATCAGATGAAACTTAATGTATCAAAATTTATTCTAATCACATTCTATTCTTATTTGATAAAAAATCCTGATTTTTTTTTTAAAAAAATCACTGAATAAAAGTAGACAACAACCCCAACTCAAAAGATGGATGTGTGCGAAACAGTGTCCTGATCATTAAAAAACATAAACACAAATATCAGTAACCTTTAAGAGTAAGAATGAGAGCACAGATAATCACTAGTCTCAGAAAAATGCCAAATAAATGACAATGTCAGCCATGATAATTATGGAATTAGGGCAAAAGAGAAAAGATTACAGAAGCGAGCTTTCTTTGTTGTCTCTGTGACTTTGCTTGGTTGCATGACATGGTTGCAGATGTTGCTTAGAAGTAGCAGGGAAAGACAAGCAGCTTAGACTGTGGGGCAGAAAGCAGTCTCTTTACTCCTTTGAGTTTTTTTTTTCCAATTATGAATTTGACAAATGAAAAACTTGAATGTTTTTTAGATAGTTTTTAATTTGATAGTACCTGGCATCAGTTTTTAAAAAATATTTTGTTTCCAGAATGTCTGAGTTTACAAAGCATCTTAGGTACAGTGTCAGTAACAGTGAGGATGACAATGGTTAGATCCTTCCAGAAAACAAATGCCTACCTGCATCTCCAGCAGCTGAAGCCCCTGTCCCCTATACCTGAGGTTAAGACATACAGTTTGGAGTTAAAGCTGCTGTACCAAGTCCGCTTTGTCTAGAATATAAGTTGATCTGTTGAGTCTTGAAGAGAGAACAAAATAAGGCAAAGACAAGTGTCATTTTTCAGTGATGGAAGCCGGTTGTGAAAGTGGCATGTGTCCCCAACAAAGAGACAGAAAATCTGGTAGAAGTTTGGAGAGTGCGGCAGAGGGAGAGCATTTACAAGGTTATACAAACATATGGCTTCAACTTTTGACTCCCACCTTTTATAATGTGAAATCCACAGACCTTTTATAATGCAAAATGATGGCTTAAAATTTAGGAAGCCATGCAATCATATAATTTGGGAAATGATTTAGATGGTTTAAAAGCATTCAATAATAACCTACAAGTAGCAGGGTAGTGTTAAGGGAGGCTGGGTTTTGACAGACATGCTGGGTTGTAATTTCATTACTTAGTAGCTGTGAAATTTAGGCTACGTTCTTTAATTTCAGAATGGAGTTATATCCCTTTTCTACAAAATGAGATTGAGTTAGATAGTCAAAGGAACTCAAATTCTACAAAGCAGAGCAAATATTGTGCTGTTACTGTTGTACCGACTTCCTCAGAGTCTGGCAAGGGCACTGGATGAGTGTTGATCCTATTGAATTGCCTTTTAGTGCCCCTGCCAGCCTTAACTACAGAGTTATTAACTTTGCTGGACAAGTTTAGGTTCATTAGATGAGCTCACATATGGGCACACACACACAATTGGGTTCTATTTTTCTAAAATCTGAAATAGAAATTATAGTGCAAAGATTAGGCACTTTCCTTCCAGAAGATAATGAGAATTGATTTCTTTAACCCAATCATACCTTCTATTTCTAGAAGAGGAACTTAGAACTGTTTTAAATATTATACTCATTCTAAGGTGTAAGGATAAGGAGATGTTCACCAGTTAAGCCACAGAAAATTATGTGTATCTCATTTTACTCTTTTGTGCAAGTAAATATGACTCCCAAGTCCTTAAATTCAAAGATTCATCACAACTTTTACCTCAGTTAACTTTATGAAGACTGAACATTGGACTAACATTGCGTCTGAAAAACTTTGAGCAATTTATACACGAGTCACCTCTTTTTAAACAATTACAGTTTTATATTTCTTCATCATGCTACTCAAAGCCCTTATTTTTGTAACTGTCTGTTTGAATTCAATGCTAGGGAGAAAAAAACAAGTCTGGAGATGAATATGTATACATTTGTTTTTAGAAAGTCCAGACTTCTCTTTCGCCTTCGCTATCAAAAAATGTTAAAATAAATTTAGTGTCCAGTTGACTCAATTTCCTTAGTTCTGATGGATGACAGATTCTTTTTGCAACTTCTTCAGATGGTCTTCTCCCAACTAGCACTGCTGTCCAGTGTCACGATCTCCAAATGGTCCAATGCTACTTTCCTGGATAACGAGAAATACATCTACTGAAATGTCCTGTTATGCTAGTTACCCTTCTTATTACTGTGATCAGATACCTGACGACAAGCCAATTTGAGATGCAAATTTCTCAGGTTTATTTGGGATAACAGTTAGGGGAACAGTCACTCCTGGTGGGGAGCTCACAGAGGCACGAGCTTGAGGCAGCTGCTCACACCACAGCCATACTCAGGAAGCAGAGTGATGAATATTGCTGCCCCCCTCAAACTTCTGCATATTTTGCACAGTCCCATGGGTCCCAATTGGGGAGTTTAGCTGAATTTCTCTAGAGGGTGAGATGCTAGGGAAGAAGCATTCAAAATGAGCCTGTGACTCTTGCCGTGATTCTCAGCCATTTTGCTTCCTGCAGAGATCTGTTTGATGAGATTCCCCGGGGTTGTCTGCCTTTATGGATCTTCCTACATCTTACCAAAATTTTATTATGACTACGTACCTGAGTTGGACTTGTCCTGAATGCCTGCTCCCTGAGGACTAGCTTTCATGGTACCACGTGCTTCCAAATGAGTGAAGCAATCAACAGTCTCGCCCAGCGATAACACCTATGAACCACCGCAATGACCAGCATGGCTTGATAACATATACATAAAATAAAAATAAATTTCTTGCTATTTATTTTAAGGATTTATTTATTTAATTTAGGTGCATGAGTATTTTACCAGCCTGCATGTAAGTGCAACTTGTGTATGCAGTGCCTACAGAATCCAGAAGAGGACATCAGATCCCCGGGACTGGAGTAACAGACCCTGTGAGCCACCACATGGGTGCTTGGCACCAAACCTGGATATTCTTTTTTTTTTTTTTTTTTTTTTTGAGCAGGAGTGTCCAAGACGGAGCAGTGGACTTTTTATACTATACTATCAGAAGCAATATAACATTACTTTTGTCCCACCATATTTCTTTCTTTTTTTTTTTTATCTTGCAATACAATTCAGTTCTACATATCAGCCACGGATTCCCTTGTTCTCCCCCCTCCCGTCCCCCTCACCTTTCCCCCAGGCCCCCCCCCCGCCCCCATTCCCATCTCCTCCAGGGCAAAGCCTTCCCCACAGACTGAGATCAACCTGGTAGACTCAGTCCAGGTAGGTCCAGTCCCCTCCTCCCAGGCCGAGCCAAGCAATCCTGCATAGGCCCCAGGTTTCAAACAGCCAACTCATGCAATGAGCACAGGACCCGGTCCCACTGCCTGGATGCCTCCCAAACAGATCAAGCCAATCAACTGTCTCACCCATTCAGAGGGCCTGATCCAGTGGGGACCCCTCAGCCATTGGTTCATAGTTCATGTGTTTCCATTCATTTGGCTATTTGTCCCTGTGCTTTATCCAACCTTGGTCTCAACAATTCTCGCTCATATAAACCCTCCTCATTCTCGCTAATTGGACTCCCAGAGATCCACCCAGGGCCTAGTCATGGATCTCTGCATCCAGATCCCTCAGTAGTTGGATGAGGTTTCTAGCACGACAATTAGGGTCAAACCTGGATATTCTACAAGAGCTACAAGTGCTCTTAATTGCTGAGCATCGCTGAGCTGTTTCTCCTGCCCCTTGTTATTCTTCTTAATATATACAGGTATTATTTTTCTTTGACAATTTCAGACATGTATATACTATATTTTAATCCATTTTCACCTCTATTACCTTCCTACTCCCACTAAGTACCTTCTTCCCCCAAATTTCTCCTTCTATTTTAATATCTACTTTGGGTTACTTACTTACTTAGTTATGTATTTATTTATTGTTATTCATGAGTTTAATCAGCATTGCTCAAACTATCTTCCTTTGCACATCTTATAGAGACAACCATTGCTTAGAATATCACCACCACAAACGAGTCAAACTGTTTCTCAAACTGTATACAAATAGAATAATAGATACTCTTGTATAAAGCTTTTTAATTTAATGTAATGCTTTTGAGATTCCTTTATTCTTTTTTTCAGTTTTAAAAATTAAATTGATGAATTTGATAAATATTGACTATATTATATATAACATGATATTGTAGAATAGAGCTTGTTTTATTATTATTTATGGCTATTTAGAACCCATCATTAATGAACATTCTGGGTAAAATTATGCTGCCCTTTGAATTGCGCAGTACCTTGCATTCTTTATGAGTTGAGTGTTGATGTCTTCTTCCTTGGCAACATAAAGGTTCCTCTGAATGGATTAAACGGTGTTTCCAGAGAACCAAGCCAGTTTATATATGGCATGAAGAACTTTCTTTTCTGACTGGCATTGTGTCAATCATTACACCCCAAAAGGCCAAGAGTAAAGGATTTGATAATGTGCTGATGAAAGCTTGGGGAATGACACAGGAGTGTCACAGGGGTATAGTAATTATCCATCCATTAAATGGCAGTACTGTGTCCTTGGTTCTATGTAAAACCTGAAGATTATTACATATATTGAATTAGACATGGTCTTTATACTGATGGCACCTTACAGTCTGATGGGAAATCAGATCAATGCAGAGCAGTTTTATTGGTTTTTATGAATTTCTTAAATTACTGTACAAAATAATAGGATTCGGTGTGTGTGTGTGTGTGTGTGTGTGTGTGTGTGTGTGTGTGTGTGTGTGAAGAGGGAATGTTCATGTGTATACACTTTTATGTGGAGGCCAGATTTCAACCTTGGATGTCATTCCTCAGTAGCCATTCACATTTGTTTTGAGATCAGAGCTCTCATTAGGACCTGGGGATCTCCAAGTAGGCTAGTCTAGCTGGTCAGCCCCCTGAATCTGCCTGTCTTTGCTTCTCTGGGATTAAAAGTATGCACCATTATGCTAGCTTTTTAATGAGAGTGCTGGGGAATCAAACTCAGGTCCTCATGCTCCCATAACAAGCACTTGACTATGTCTTTATCTCCCTTCGAAGACATTTTCATACAAATATATCATTGTACCTTTTTTATTTATTCTTCCACTACCTTTTCCTAACTCCCTCTCTCCATTTCTTGCTGTTCTTCTTCCAATCATTAATAACAGCCTTCTGATTTCATGTTGCATTATGTGTTTGAGTGTGTGTTAATTTAAATCTGGATTACAAAGAAGTTTTAAAAAATAAAATAGATATTAAAATAAGTATTCAAGATTTCTCATAATTTGTGTTATTTTCATTTCTACATATTAATGTGTTTTCATTAAGAAAGAGAACTAGTACTATTATCTGCCTACATACAGCCATATTACACTGAAAAGAAAAACTAGTATGTAACATCACACACCTTATGTTTGAACAAACATTTTACAAACCAAATATCTGCATTATAAATTAATCAGTGTGCCATCCACTGCTGCTTTCTAAATTGAGTGATATTTGCATGTAGCACAAATTAGCATATTAACACATAAAACAATTTTGCAAATGACAGCAAAAGACTAGCTGCCCAGTTTAATCTGCTAAGAGGTTGTAAAATAAATGTTACCATTAATGTTATAAGTAAAAAGTACAATCACCTGCATTAACCTACCTTATGTTTATGCAAAGTGGAGATAATTGACATCCATTCAAGGGATCACAAGGATTACAAGAGATTATACTAACACCATGTAAACTGTAATTATCACCTCCCATTAATGATAACTTGAGTTTATGTACAAGTATTTATTTCTCTGCTAATTACCTATAATTGAGGTAATAATCCATGGGATAAATTGGATTTTTCTTTTCTTTAATTCCCTAGGTTCCTCAATACATGTGTTTGTTTTATAGAATAAGCTTTTGGGCTTGTTTATCTTGCTGCCTACTGGGAGAACAAGTTCTCTGTTAAAAACTAGTCGCAGCTTCTGGGGTGAGGCTAGCTGGAGGCATAGCTGGGAAATCTTAGCACTTAGGGAGGTCCATTTGTTCAGTTAAAGAGTTAGATGGCCAGTGACTCTTGAGGAACATAGGCATTGATACATCCACAAGCTCCAGATCACTAAACTAGTTGCAGGTTATCTCATCAGCACTATCTTTCTGTGAAATACCTGGTTATGAAATGCATTTAGTCCTCCCTTGGGATGCCAGTCACCAACACCAGGAAGGGTTTCTATCTCTAGATCCTGCCTGTAAATTATTTCTTCTGCAACTAGAGTCTGAGTTTTTAAGAGCCCATATATCTCTCTATGCATTGATTAAGACAAAATAAACGAAAGTGTGTGACGTGAAGGTGATGAGTTAAAGATGTGTTATCACTTCTCTGAAGATAATCTTTCAAACAATTCATACTGGTGGTCTTGGTTGTAAAGGAAAAACTATGCATAGCCATTAAAAAGGAATGACGATAAAGATTTTAAATTGGTTTAGAGGAAGAATTGGCAGAATAAAGGTCAGTTTGTGATCTTTTCAAATAAACTAGTGAAAAGCATAGTATTTTCATGTCTAGAAAATAAAGTGTCAGCAGGATATTAGTTTAGAGGGACTAATGGCAGGGGAGGTAATTATGATGCCAAGGGGTAGAAGATCTTAGCAGATTATTATCATTTATTCTCTATTATGGACCAAGTGGGCTACTGCTAATCTTTCAAAAAATTTCTATTTTGAGACCATTTATTGATGAGGAAGCTGTGTTGGAGAAAATTTCCTCATAGAAAGTCTCACATCCTGCATATGAGGAAAAAAAAAAAAAACTTGGCCATGATCAATTTGCTCCACATCTGTGAGCACCCATGGCACTACAAGACATGGTATCTTTTAATAAGACCTGCCTAAATCTCACTCACTTTGTGCTTATTTGGGGATATATGCTAGGAAGTTGTAACTTTTTAAAATGTACCGCTTTTTATTTTATGTGTATGAGTGTTTTGCCTCCATGTTTGTCTGTGTACCACATGATTGCATTGTGTTCATGGAGGCCAGAAAAGGGCACCAGATCCTCTGGAACTGACATTCCAAACAGTTTGTGAGCCACTGTGTGGATGCTGGGAACCAAACCTGGGTTGTCTGGTAGAGGAGTGAATGCTCTTAACTACCGAGCCATCTCTCCAACTCCTCTAAAAGCTTCTTGCTTCAACAATATTAAGTTGTATATCTCTAGTAGTATACTGATGTAGTTCTGTTACACTCATGTATAAACTTGGTGGGAGCTATAGTTCCTTTGATTTTCTTTTCTTAGCTAGAGGATGAAGTCCTATCAAGAACATACCTGGAATTGGAAATTGAATATTTTCTCAAGGACCTTGGATCTTTGGAGAGTGATGCCAATGACAGTTGGGAGCTCACTGCTCACAGTGAGCATCAGGCAAGACTGCTCCTAATAACGTGCTTTGGTTCCTTTGTCCTGCAAGGGGTCCTTGATTCCTGCTCCTTTTCCAAGATGAGCTCCCAGGCTTATTTTTTATTCAATCGTACCCACAGACTTTCAATATATTCCCTTCGTACTTAGGCTAGTCAGGGTCAGTTCTGTTGCTTGTAAGCAGCAAGAATTCTGACTAATATTAAGATGTCAGGTGTGCCTCATCTCTCTGTCCAGAAGGGAAGGCTGAAAAATGGGAAGTAAAATAAAAAATAGTAAAACAACAGGTAATTTTTAAAAAGACAAGATGCCATTTTAAAGCAAAACTGATCTGCAAACTATTGTCTGATGCTCTCCAGTTGACTATTAATAACATCAAGAAGACAATTTAATCAAGAGATT